ACATACAATAACTATTACTTACACTATCTTCTGGCATTTCAATAGATACTGACATTAGCTATAAACAGAATTAAAAATAATTGTTAAATTATGCTAAGTAATAATTATACAAAAGAAGATAACATTTTTGCTAAAATTTTAAAGTTTTATTACCTTTGGTATCTTAGTGATCAATAACTCAGCAATTTCAGATCTAGATAGCTTAGAATTGATACGATACTACATAAAAATAATAAGCAATACATTCTCATTGCATTTAACATAATAATTATGTGAAGAGGTGAATCAACTTCAAATTTTGATAGTTGATCTTTATACTTACTTTCTTACAAACAGCAGTCACATCAGCTTTTCCTTTAGTAATCAATAATTTGATAACTTCAGTTGATCCACCTTTTTCAATTGCTAGTAACAGAGGAGTGTTACCATACTAGATAAATAAATAATAATAATTAGAATGCGAGGCTACAGTTAACAAGCCATCTAAAACAACAAAACTAATGATTAAAGTTTTTTTTAAATCTCTTTTGCAAAATTACTGTTCAGCTGAACTTTATTTTATAAGAATCACATTTTAGATTATAATAAATTTAGCATTAAAAGTGAGACTCTATATAATGGACAATTGAGATGCTGTATGTGCTGGGATATGCTAGAAGGGCTACTATACTATCATTACTATGTAGCTCCACATTTTGTCTGTCAAAAACTTTTGTCAAAATCTTAATTTCCTGTTAAATAAATCCACATATTATACCCACAAGAAACAAAAAGTAGTCAGTTAATGTTTTCTTTAAACAAAAATACAGTACACATGTTGAAAGTCAGTAACAATTAATAGTATAAATAAAGGTATAGTACAAAGTATTATGTAGGTAATATGCATGTACATGGCAATCTTACATTATCCACAACATCAATTTTAGCTCCATTAGTTAATAGAATATTAACAATTTCACTCCTCCACTTAACAACATGAAACAATGGAGTTCTGTTCTCCTATAAATACAACACAGAGACATTTATAAATGAGTACTTATTAATAACTTTACCTTATCCATAGCATTCACATCAGCCTTTCCTTTAGTTATTAATAATTTGATAATATCAGCTTCACCAAAACGACAAGCATAGTGTAATGGAGTTTCATCATACTATAAAAATTAAAAATTTGTATATTGTTGACACACGTAAATAACTAAATATAGTGCTTTTTCAAGGATAAAAAATTTATGGATTTTTTTAAAAACATTCATAAAATTAAATTATGTGGAATATGGTACAAAATGGCTAAATAGTGAAAATTTGTGAAAATTAATTTGATGAATCTTTGGCTTGTACCCTTCAAAAAACTGTTACAATAATGTGTATTACATGTACATGCAATTATGCAAGCATATAAAATTAATGTATACCCCCATAACATCAGTTTTAGCTCCATTAGTTAATAGAATATTAACAGCTTCTTTGTTACGAGTTTTAATAGCATCAAACAATGAAGTTCTGTTGAACTACAATCCCAAAATAAAATGTAGAAATGATGATTTATTAACTTTACCTTATTCCCAGCATTCACATCAGCCTTTCCTTTAGTTATTAATAATTTGATAATGTCAGCACCTTCACAATACTCAAGAGCATAGTGTAATGGAGTGCCGTACTATACATTAAATATAATGTACATGTAAAACAAGTGTATAAGTATAAAAATATCCCTATAACTGTTATCACCACCTTGCATGCATAGCTGGATCTCGTTATTAAGATTTACAGAGGTTCTCTCTACTTGATAATGCTTCTAAAGAAGGTTACGTTTCCTGTGGCCACACCCATTTTACGTAAAGGGTGTGGGCAAGAAATTGCTAACTGCTAAGGTGTCTTAATTTATTATTTGCTATTTCTCCAAT